GTGGGTTGCAGGGGCTGGGAAACAAAAAAGGTCATGTGCATCTGGTGGAGACATCCCTGCCTCCCTCGCTGATGTGAACAGCTCCATGCAATACTGGTTGAAATGCAGATGGGGGCAAGAAGCTCACTGCATTTTACACCCCTGGCACTGCTTAGTTCATCTTAGCTAAGTTGGCTCTCTGTTTTTTTTGTTGTTTTTTTTTATATGCCTTAATTCATATCTCATTCTGTTTCCCCTGAATAAGTGTTCACCCTTTAAGGCAAATCTGGGGAACCAAATGCTTTTGAACTACAGCTCCTGTTGTCTTGGACCATTGACTGCACTGGCTGGGGCTGATGGAAGCTGGAGTTCAGTAACGTCTAGAGAGCCACAGATTCACCATCTTTGCTTTAGGCTGAAGGCAAACCAATTTTGTCATCGGTTACTCATCAGCTCTGCCCTGAACTCACCGCTGATGCCACTTGGATAATTTTCATAAAGTTTAGGGGATAGATAGTGGGATTGGAAAGCCTCTATTTGAGATGAAAGAGGTAACACAGACTTTATAGAAACATGATTCCTGTTTGCCTTAACCTGTTATCGTTATCTATCTGAACATAAATATGGGCCAAAGCAGTGCAAGGTATCCTGAGTCAATGTGAAAGCAGTTTAAGTTGCTTTTGTTTTTCTGTTATTGCAGAGCTGAGTCTGAATTTGAGAAGGTTGTTGGCTCTGTTAACATGGTATGCACTTTTGTGATAGTGTTTTATAAAGAAATAAGAACAGCAGAATATGATGGCTACCTTTAAATAATGTTGTAAGTACAAATGTCAAATCATGATTAGAAATATGTGTTGCCTTAGTAGTGGGCTTCTGACTACCCAAAATAGCATTGCTGGCAAGGGTTTTGGAGGAAACTAATTCATATGTTATATCAATGCTGGGCATGTGCTTTTCCCCAATAAAGAAACTTATTGCCTTCCTTGTTTAGTATATTTATATGTGGAAGGCTATTTCTCTGCATGCGGATGAATGAATATGTCAGTCAAAATTAAATAGATTTATTTCAGAACAGTCCATCTTAAATGTTCACACTGGACTCTGATACTCTTCTTGTTGAATTTTAATTCATGAGCATGTGTAAACTGACACGATCTAACAATGCAATCTTATGGACTTACTATCACATAAATGTGTGGCTAAACTTCTCCATTTTTGTATTTAAATCATGCCAAACACTTATCTGAAACTATAAGAATTATATTTAAAACAACAATTCTGAAATCCTCATGGTATCATTAAGGATTTGATCTAAAATTGAATATCCACTGTTAACTCATGAAAGCAAACACTTTCTCAGGCCTTGTTTATCTTTTAGTGATGGTAATAAGGTTGTAGAAATAATTTAATTGAGATTGTTTAGTTAAAATCATTTCAAAATAGGTCATAAATAAAGAGGAGTTTAAAAATGATAAAATGTGGTTTTGATTTGCCGCGGGATGGGCAGATTTTATTTTTCCTCCTTGAAAATGTGTTTTTGCCAACTGCCTTCCAAAATGCACATGTTCTGCTTTCAAAAGAAAAATGGCTAACAGTGAAAGAATAAGTAAAGGTTGGAAATAAAGAAAGATTAAACCAAAATATTGAAAATAATTTAAAATGAAAAATTTTCCTCAAATGGCACAAGATAAACATCATTTTATTTATTTATTTTTTAGATTCTCCACCTCAGCAATCATTTTTGTGCTGTTAAGTGACAAAAAATAAAATAAAAAACAATGGGGGACTGGCAATAAACTGTCTGGCTTATTTTGGCCTTGGCCTTTTCTTCCTGCACCTATTCCCTATATTTGAAAACAGGGTACTTTCTATCCAAGGCGAATGTTTGGATTGTCTCCCAAAGACAATGTATTGTTTTACTCGTGAGTATTCTCTAAGAAATGCTGTCAGCAGTTCAACAGTGAAAAGATTTTGTAAAAATCTTGAACATGTTACAAAGGGGACAGTGACCTTTCCATTGCAACAATATATTTGGTAACAATCATCCCTTTATTCACACTTAAAATGTTCCCTGAGCAATATTGGCACATGTGTGTCAAATTGCCTCTATCAAAACTGATTATGCGTTTGGCACTCTGGAGAGCTCTTCTTGGTAAAAAAGAAACCACACCACCACCATCCCACTGTCATGTAGACATATTATATGTCCCTGCAATACTCTCAATAAACATACTGATGTGTCTAACATTTTTTCTTATTTCACTTTTTAAAACATGCAGCTGCTCCCCCTTTTTTCTTTATTGTTACCTCTACACACCCCCACCCCACCCCCACACAACCGCACACCAATTTTGCTATGTTTTGTGCGTATTATATTTTCCCGCCATTTCAAAACATGTATGTTTTCTGGGCGTAAGCAACCTACTGTTTTGCCCCAACTTATTGTACAAAGTTTCCATAACCTGGTAAGTATGTAACACAAACCAAAAGCCACCTTGAGCCCCAGACTGGGAGAAAGGTGGGATCTAAATAAACTTATAAACAAATAAAAAAATCCTAAATAAATAGATATAATAGTAATAGTAATAATAAATCATGGTTGAGCATGAAGGTGTGGATTCCAGAAGAAGAGATTAAGCCGCTTTGGTCCTACCTCTGGTCCTTCTGCGGCTGTACTGGGGTGAGGTAATCCATTGCTTAGCTCAGCGTGGCACCCAAATCCAGGTGAATAATTTGTTTCATCCCAGATAAAGCACAAGCTGTAACCATGTTTGTTCAGAGACAAACCATGGCTTAGCACACAGCAGGAATAGTAGTAGTAAAGTGTTCAGGGGTTCACACACTCGCACTATGATAGTAATATCTACTTTGTGCAACAACAGTTTCAGTCTATTTGAGAAATGTCCCTTCTTCCTATTCTTGTTGTCTTTCAAGTACAGTGGTTTTATCAGTATGCAGTGTCATAATTTTGCTCTCCCTCCCCCTATGGATGGCCAACTATCTCCTATCAGTTTCCTCCTAAATTCTTTCTCCTCTGTCTCAGAAATTGGCCTGTGGTCCCATGGGTAACCCTCATTTTCCCCACCTCTCTTTCTCCAACAGCTCTCCATTGTTAGCTGCATTTTTCAGACCAACTATCTTTTTCTACTGTATTTGTATTTCCCAGCTATCAATAGCCTCCCTCCCATCCTCTCCTTATCATCACTTCATGACAGTTTCTATCTTTTTGTCCCTAGGAAAGGAATTTGCTCATATATAGCCCTTGTTAGGGAGGTTCTTTGGGTGTCTCTCCCTCTCCCTCTCCCTCTCTCTCCCCCTCTCCCTCTCTCTTTCTGACACACACACACACACAGCAAATCCTCCATACTCTTGAATATGCATAAATCCCTGTGTTGTGGGTGGGTGCTTCATTGCCCTACTAGTTCCTGCTGAGCCACCAAGGTTGATTATTAGAGGGACTGGAGACTAAAAGTTTGGGGTATGGTTACATGATTAATGCTTTCATAATATATACAAAGAAAGGTAAGCAATTCTGCAAGTTCTCATGATGTACCCCTCAAGTTACTTACTCAGTGGCTTACTCAGGAGTAGTCCCACCATGTACTTGCAGTCTGCAGGATCATGGCAGCAATTCAATGTAGAGTTATGGACACTGAGGTCCATTGCTTTAAGTAGGTTTAAGTACACCTAATTCTGTGATGGATTGTGTTAGGTTTAATAGATGGTGACAATGAATGAATATGATATGGTCATTTAGTGTTGCAACTTGGGTTTAGAAGTTTCTGTTTCCATATGTATTATTTGTCCCCCCCCTCCAGTGTTTTCATGTAGGAAACCTAAAATCTAAATTAGTCTCTCCCCAACTTGGCACCCTCCAGATGTTTTACCCAGCAAATCTCAGCCCTAACCATTGACCTTTGACCATTGAAGGGAGTTGTAATCCAAAACATCTGGAGGGCACCAGGTTGGGGAAAGCGGATCTAAGGCTGTTCTGACTTCTGTGCAAATCCAACTGGAAGTTTTCCTTTAAACATTGAGATTGAAATTAACAGAAACACACTAATTTCAACAGACACATGAGAATTTCCCAATGGATTATGGATACATACTGGGATGGCTCAGTAGCTGAAGCACGAGACTCTCATAATCTCAGTGTTGTGGGTTTGAGCCCAACATTGCTCAAAGATTCCTGCATTGCAAGGGGGTTGGGCTACATGACCCTCATGGTCCCTTCCAACTCTACGAATCTGTGGGCGGTGTGCCAATATTTTGGTAAAATTTGTTGGGGTGGGTGGGTGGAAGGCAGGGAGAGAGATTTATCTTTTCACATCTGATTTTTTTCCCCCTCCCCTGTTATCAGGAACTCTTTTTTCCTCTTCTCTGCTTTCTCCTTAACCCCCTCACATCTTGGCTTCTACAAGATGTTACTAGGCTATGCCGTGCTAGCAGAATGCTGCATCCATTTCAGTTTTCGTTCTACGAGCATTTATGCCAAGTGATGCTACAACAAGAAATTAATTACGGATTAGTCATCTTCCCAAAACGTTAAGATATGTCCCTGCGGACTGGACAAAAGTGATCTTTGCTGCCACACAGAACAGCTCTATTTGGTCTTGATGTTCATGTGTTTGTGTGTTGACATCTTCAGTGGGTCATCCTGGGCCCACCAGGTGGTGGAGATTCCAGAGGGCAAAAAGTGATCACTCAATTATCTGAAATCTCTTATTTTTAAAGCATCTACAGCACAGCATAAAATGCTGGGCTCCAACATCATTTCCAAACTCCAGTCAAGGCTGTGAATATCAGCAATACATCAGGAGGCTGTGTGTTTTTGTGTGTGTGTGTGTGTGTGTGTGTGTAGAGATGACATTTTATTTTACTTCTTTGCTTGCTGGTTTTGTGGTGCCGCTTGGAGGCGTTTTCCCCCGGAGTGCTTTCTATGAGGTTGCGGGAGAGAGAGGCAGAGAGAAAGAGAGAAAGAGAAAGAGAGCCCTATTCTCCTTAATGCATCTCCAGTGCGAGGGGAAGAGCCTACGGAGTTCAACTATTGCTGAACTGCTGTGATTGGCAGAGGAACTGTCCAGGAAATGGCTCAGGTTTCAACTTCGGGGGAGTGACCAGAGGAAGGAGGGGGAAGAAAGAGAGAGAGGGAGAGAGAGAGAGAGAGAGAGAAAGGGCTTGTAGACCTGATAAAGTTTTCGAGTTTGCTTGCAACAGGGATTCTGAATGGACTGGATCTGGACTTAAAGGCAGCTGTGCTTTTTCCTTTTTCTGAGCAACGACAACTTTTGGGAAAGTTCTCCCTAAACCTGGATCTTTAGATAAGTGGAGAAGAGCAAAAGAAAAAGAAAAATCGCGACACACTGCTTGCCTCCTTTTTCCTCAACCCTTTTAGTTTTTCCTTCTCTAAATAAAAAGAGCAAACGCAGCCCCGTTCTGCTGCTCCGTCCAGCTTTTTTTAATTATTGGAGAGGTTTGGGGGCGCCGGAAAAGAAGGCAGCGTTTGGCTCGCCAGCGGTGATGGGGGCGACGGTGGCCCAGTCTCCCCGCGCGGGTCCGGGGCTTCGCAGCGACGTGTTGGAGCGGCTGCGCGCGGAGTAAAGGCGGAGAGGCGAGATCGTGGGGCTTTTATTTTATTTTTTTACGGAGAGGTGCTCCTCTCCTTCTCCTCCTCTCCCCGCTGCGGGGAAAAAGAAAGCTGCGGGCGCCGCCGGGCTTCATCCCGCACACACGCCTGCTGCAAAGGAAGAGCGGATCGCTTACGCGGAGCCTTTTCATACCAGGTAATTGGACCAGGCTTGGCTTGCAGTGGAGAGGAGAGGGGGGTCGGGGAGGAAAGGAAAGGGGGGCTATCGGGGAAGAGAGAGAGAGAGAGAGGAATCCTCAGGATCTCCAGGAGTGAGGCTCCCTGGGCCACCTCCGTGCGATCGTTTTGTGCATTTGTGAAGCAACGTGTGTGCCGCTTGCGCGATCGAAATTTGCAAGAGCTTTCCCCCTGCAAAGCCGGGGCATCTCCCGGAGCGGCGACGTTGCGCACCCTGGCATTTGGGATGTTTTCGCCGAGCGACATGTGGCAACTGCCGAGGCGTAGTAAGCGCACGCCCTCCATATTTTGCGTGGGTCTGATCGGTGGCCCCCACAGGTGGCGTGGGGCCTGGCGCGAGTTTGGATCCACCCGAAGGGCTGGGAGCGCGGGAGCTCCTTTCCGAAAGGGCGCCCGCAAGGATCCTTCGCGCTCCTCTTGCAGTTGACAGTTTGCACCCCGTCGTCAGCCTCTACTTTTTAGCCCTTCGCGAGCGGCGCTTTTCGCTCAGAGGTCTTCCGTGGTGATGTGGTTTAGATGGCATGGCAGGCGAGGCTGCGGTTTAACACATGGATTTGGAAGTGCGTAAATTCCAAGGGCTCCTGGGGGCTTTGCGCCCAGGTGGAAGTGCTTAGGATGGCAAAGGTGGTGACAAGGTTGTCGTTTCCTTTCAAGAAGCAGGCGAAGTTCAGAACCACTTCTCCTCCTCTTCTTCTTCTCCATAGTAAAAAAGTTTAAATAGTATTGTTATTCATCTTTCATCCTCCTCTGGCATGTTAGCCTATTGAGTTCAATAATTTGAGCAAAGGTGTACCTGCTTAAAAAACTGTTGCCAGGGCTTGGGACATTGGAAAAATGACAAGATGAACTATTGAGCATGTGCAGAGTGCCTCCCCATGCTGGCTGAGCTGCCTTAAAGGACAGTTGTTCCTAGCTCAGAGGTTTTCACTTGGCAGCTTATTTTTTTTAGGCTCTAAACCCCGGCTGAGCCCCCACCCCTGTTTATATTTCCAGATAAGATGATATGCAGAATGTATTCATAAAGAAAAGGAATCATTGTGGATTTTTTTACGGTTGTAACAGGACCCAAATTGTAGAGCTATGATTTAATTGGCGTGGCATTAAAGGGCTTTTGTTTGAAGAGGGGGGGAATTGGAGGGGATCTAGTTTATTCAGTTGCAGGAAGAAGGGGAACCGGGCTTTAGCGATGCTGAACACAGCAAAACCTGTAGCCTGTGCAGATTCTTTCACCTATAGTGCTGTGGAAGGACCTAGTTAGGCAAAAAGAAAAAACCCCTCAAACCCCCCCCCCCAAACCACCCCACATGGAATCCTTTAGTGACTGTTGCAACAATCTGTGCATATGGAGAGAAGTGATTTACATGGAGCTTAGTGGAAACGTGATGTACAAGTAACACAAACCAAAAGAACAGGAGGTCCTTCTCGTGGGGAGTTTGTGTGTGTGTGTTAGTGATGCGATCCATAATTTTCCTTCCTCTAAAAAAGAATATATATATTCTGTGTATAAAACTGCCTTTCAAACAGGGGTCCATTATGTGGCTGGTGTGAAGCGCCATCAACATTTCAAACCCCATTGTCTCTTTTGTACCAAATCCCTGTAAATCTTCTACTTGCCTTTACTCATTTTCATCTGAAAAGCCTGTTTGGTTTGAATAGACTGCAATAAGCGGCCTCTGGACCTCTGTGGAATGTCAATTAAAATGCAGATTTCCCCTTCTCTCTCTCTGATCCGCAGAAGACTTGGAGAAAAACAGGCTAGTCCCCAAGAAAAGTGAATGAAGGAAGTTCAGACAAAGCAAAACTATTGATGCTGCCAGGCTGTTTTCCCCGAATAACCGTCCAGAATTAATGTTTAATAGCCGATCCCTTTGAAGATGGCAGTGTGAAGGGGTTAGCGGGGCTTCACTCTCCTCCTGCGATCAGACCCAGTCTACTGTCACTTAATTGCTATACAGCTAATTTTCTATAAGCTGGTGGAGGACATTGATCCACACTTGCACAGATTTTTTTTTTTTTTTTTTTGCTGTACTCTAAATGCCTAGGGAGGATACACAGGTCAGAGTATTGATTTGGATGACATACTCTCTGCAAATTACAACCTCCCTGGGGAGTGATAAACACTGCCCACATAACAATGGAGCTAGATTAAAATGAATACTTAGGCTTGGATTTAATTACTGCCTCTCTAGAACAAGCACAACTTGTTTGCGTGCGCATTAAAAAAAAAAAGTAAATAAATGTGGCAGCTTGAAGGAATTTGGTAGGGCTCCAACCCCAGGCTGTTTTTTCCCATGCTTGTCAGTTTGGCAAAGACATTTGGGCAGGTATGTGACTGAGGTGAAAATTGACTTGATGAGCGGGTGGCCAGGCAAGCCATCAATCATGGGTGGCTGACAACTCCTTCCCCAGTATAGGGCAGTATAGAAGAGAGAAAAGAGTTCCCTTTCAAGGGGAAAAATAAACACTACGTGTGGCTTTCACTGAGCCTGAGACTCCAGGAGGGATTATGCTATTGTAGTCAGGAAGCCAGAATTGTGAAGGCCAAGAAGCATGCTGGGACTGTGTGCCAAACATTGAGATAGGTACATAATTACCCCAGGGTAGGAGGTCTCCCTATAAAACCATCTAGCAGCGACTATAGCAAGTAAGATAAGGGAAAGAACTGGAGTCTGGGTCCCTGCCCCCCTCCACCTTCTAGAGAGGCCCATATTCTTGGAGAGGTGGAAGTGGGACTCCGTAATTGGGGAGACTAATGTTCCCTGTGGAAATGATGTAGTGAGAATTATGTAATTCAAAGGCTTGCTGAGTTTGCTGTTGACGTGTAAGGGGTATATTGCTTCCAATGTCTTATAAGGAAAGAGTGAATTGTGCTCTTTAAAAATATGTCAAGTTGGACTTCCAAGTTCCTTGCCTGGTAGTTTTGTTGAAGTTAAGTGTGTTGTAAGATGTTAGTCTCACTTTTGTTACAGCTTCATAGAATAAACTCTTCTGTCTCCTCTTCTCCCCCTGCTCCCCCTAAAGCCTCATGTTATATCCCTTTTTAAAATGACGACAGTCTATATTTCCATTAAGATAGAGTTATGGGTAACTTGTATACTCTTAGAGAGACTATGAATCCTGTAATAAGGCATCAGTAGTCTGGTGAGGGACTGATGGGTTTAAGAGAAGCACTTTAGGTGGTTTGTAAGAGCAGAACAAATGGGTCTCCGTGGTTGGCTATAACCATTATGCAACTATAGAAATTAAATTTATTTAAATGGATTGCATGCTTTTAAGCCTCCCATGCCCTTTATTGATAATATATTTCACCAGTTTCTTTAATATGTCATGTGAGGTTGACTCAGTCCCATTTTCTAGCTTTAAGTATCAAATCAACAGTGAACTTTCAAGAAAATATTGTGCACTGAAGGGTTTATTTCACCAAAGATCTTACTGGTAAAAGTTTTAAGGAATTGCATGTGCTGTTTCTGAAGCATGATGTACCTCGGGTTAAGAACTTAATTCGTTCTGGACGTCTGTTCTTAACCTGAAACTATTCTTAACCTGAAGCACCACTTTAGCTAATGGGGCCTCCCGCTGCCGCCAGAGCACGATTTCTGTTCTCATCCTGAAGCAAAGTTCTTAACTCAAGGTAATATTTCTGGGTTAGCGGAGTCTGTAACCTGAAGCGTATGTAACCTGAAGCGTATGTAACCCGAGGTACCACTGTAATACGTTAGAAAACCTAGATTGCATTTTCTCTATTGGGCAGCATACATGGTCTCTATAATTGTCTAGTTTTGGCAGTTTTATGTCAGATATTGAGCTGGAAGGATTTTGCCCATAACTACTTTTCCCTGATATACTTTGAGATAACTAGTGTGGGCAGCATGATAACACACCACTTCTAGATCTTTGGGTGAGCAGAGCTTTTACATGTGCATCTTACCCCTATATATTCACAGTATGTGATGTATGTTAGGTTGAGAGAAAGAAAGAGCACAAGCTAAACAAAGAGTAGTGACTGGAATTTGGGTCTCCCGCATCCAGAGGGAAGAAAGGTTTTTGAGTTATTGCTGTGCTCAGAGTGTAAGAGGGTAGCACAGGAATGAGAGCAGAATAGGTAAAATGAGAATAGCTTTATCTATTGTTCTTTCACAGTTGACAGATAACCTCTGGAAATCCATCACTGACCATATCACACAGAAGAGCATAATTGCCATGGCTGCTTGATTTATTTGCCTCCTGAAGTCTGGGTGCTGTGTTTGTGTGAGGGAACAAAAGAGGTTTTTGTTTGGTCCAGTTACTAAGGTGCTTCGTAAATGCTGTTCTCATCCAGACCAACAGAGTTTTCATGGGAGCTGTCGCCTTGGCTGAATTGTGTATCTCATTGGCCCTCTGTTTTATCAGATTGCAGCTACTTCTCTCACACTTTTGTGCATTGAATGTGGGTGTGCACAACCCCTTCTCTTTCACAGCGCTTCTCTTTTCAAAGCGCTTTGCATATGTTATCTCAATCAATCCTTACAAGCTCAGTTGGTTGGAGTGGGTGCTGATAAAAACACCAAGGTCGCAGGTTCAATTCCCGAATGGCACAACTGCATATTCCTGCATTAAAGGGGCTTGGACTAGATGATTCTCAGGGCCACTTCTAACTCTGCAACTCTATGATTCTCTAAGTGTCCTGCTAAGTTAGTGGAGGGACACGGGTGGCGGTGTGGGTTAAACCACAGAGCCTAGGACTTGCCGATCAGAAGGTGGGCTGTTCGAATCCCCGCGACGGGGTGAGCTCCCGTTGCTCGGTCCCTGCTCCTGCCAACCCAGCAGTTTGAAAGCATGTCAAGTGCAAGTAGATAAATAGGTACTGCTCCGGCGGAAAGGTAAATGGCGTTTCCGTGAGCTGCTCTGGTTCGCCAGAAGCGGCTTAGTCATGCTGTTCACATGACCTGGAAGCTGTACGCCGGCTCCCTCGGCCAATAAAGCGAGATGAGCGCCGCAACCCCACAGTCGGTCACGACCGGACCTAATGGTCAGGGGTTCCTTTACCTTTAAGTTGGTGGAAGCACTGTTATGTCCATACTGCAGGTAGGGGAGTGGGGATGAAAGCATGGTGGATTGCTTGAGACCAAGGACTGAGTTTCCTGGGTGAGGTGCTGCAGGTGCTCCAATAGATGCGAAAAGGAATCATGGGTAAAATTAACTCATGTTACCTGCTTCTCCTTTGGCACCTGCCTCTCCTTTACTCCATTTCCACAGCATCACTTCTTCCCGGCTTCCCCTTGCCTGGTTTAGCTTGCAAGCCTCCTGGACTGGGACTCTATCCCTTGTATGGTCTGCGCCATATGAGTGTTGAGCAATAACAGTTACAGATGTCAGCAAGATGAATCCAGAGTTCCCGATTTCAGGACAACTGCTTTTATAGACAAATGCGCATTTCAGCCCACAAATCACATACTCCAGAATGTTCAGTCTTGTAATCACTTGCTCCAGAACAGAATGCTCTGGAGTTGAATGTTTGGAAGATTTCAGACTTAATTGCATGAAAGGGCACTTTATTGTACACTTCCAAACCATGTAAGGCTAGCTCTCCCTGAACAGAGCTTCGAGTTGCTCTATCTTTATCTTGCATTGTCTGGCCGTGTGTACCTTGATAAAGAGAGAGAGAGAGAGAGAGAGAGAGAGAGAGAGTCTGCTCTAATTGATTCTTGGCCTTCTGCCATGCAAATTCATGGAAGGATTTGCACAGCGCAAAAATAGAATGTGGTAATTTTGTAAAACGAAACACGATGGGCCTGCACATGTATACAATTATGTTATTTGCTTAAAACAAACTTCATAGATGTTTTTTGATTAAAGTAGCTCCCTTAAGCAATGTGCTGGCATCTGAAAACTCCTCAGCCCAAGAGCACGAAGAAATATTCACGTATCCTGGAGACATGGGTCCCATTAATACTTCTTTTCCTCCTCCCCAAACGAGCAACTCCTTCCCTGTCTTTGCTGCTGCATCTCTCCAGGCAAGAGGGCCAACCACGCTGCTGCTTTTTCTTTCCTCTTCTTCTTAGAAACAGAGGAAGCTGCCTTCATGCTTCATAACAGATAGTCAGACAACAGGTACATAGGCACATAGGAAGCTGCCTTTAACCCAGTGGTGTCCAAACTTTTTCAAAGAGGACCAGGTTTGATGAAGTGAAGGGCCGACCAAAGTTTTTAGAGTTGAAGTTGTTGAGGTTTTTTAAAAGATTTTACCCCAGGAAATAAACCAATAAACCAGATTAAACCAACCAGCGGGCTGGATTAGGTCTCCAAAACAGACTTTATACTGTCTTTATACTGTTTAGGATAGGATGGTTATAAATAGCTTTTCTTACTTAAGTTGTTTGTTTGTTTTTAAACTGGGATACAATGAACAAAACAAAACAAAACATGGAACTGTGCAAATGTTCATGGAATGGCACGGTGCAATTGCCTTCTGTGCTTTACTAGTTCAATAAAGCTGCAGACCTAAACACACTGAGGAATAAGCCCCATTCAGCACAGTGGGACTTACTTCCTAGCAAATGTGCAAGATTGCTTTGCATGTATAGAATGAGTATTTTCAAATGTCAGGTGTATCTGTTCAAAACTGAGAATGGGCTCCTTGTTTTAAATCCTAAAGAATATTGCATGGTTATTTGGGCCTTGAGCTGGTAATCTGCATTTTCAGATTTAGAACTCTGCATTGTTGACGACTTAATACTGGAGGCGGTGACCATTTCACATGGGGTTCCATTCCTGGCTCCTGTGCTCCCCACCCATGTTCCACCCCGTTCTGCTCCCGTTCTCCCATGTTGGCGACTGAATGTCAATTGGACGCACCTAAAATGGTTACTGCCTGTACTTAATATTTGACTTTGGCTTTTAGAATAAAAACTGGAATATGTTGTATAATTCAAGCAGGGGGAAAGTATACTAAGCCATAGTGTTAGGAGTGTTTGAAGGTTAGATTGGTAGTTGCGTATTGCTGTTGCTCCTTGCTTATATCACATTAAATGTACTTTATTTTGTTTTCCCTTTGGAACAACCCTGGAGGCAGGTTCACAGACTGAGACCTGAGGCTGAGTGAGAGATTTTAGTTTTTTGTCTGTTTCTATGATATAAAAGAGGGAGCAACAAAAGCAATATGGCACATACGTAGTGAAACTCTTCCTTGATTATATCAGTTCAAGGTGCACGTGATTGATTGCATGTTCTATCACTTC